TATTATTATTATTATTATAAATTTCGCACAAAATTTTAACATTCGGACGACATTATAAATTCAAACGACTATATAAAATCGGGTTTTAAATATTTTTTTATATTTTTTAATTACGGACAAAAAAGTTGTTCGAATTTTATAATGTCGTGCGAATTTATAATGTTTACCGAATTTTAAAATGTCATCCGAAATTTAAAATGTTGTCCGAAAATTTTTTTATTATTGAAATTTATAATAATAATAATAATAATAATAATATTAAAATATAAAATAAAAGGAAAAAAAATCAAAAACAAAAAGGAAAAAAAAGGAAAAGAAAAAAATAATGTCAAATCAAAATTAAAAAGTTGATTTGATTGATATTAGGGGGGTAAAATTGGTTAAGGGGTACTTATAGTACAACCCGGTGAAAAATGCAAGAATTTATGTATACAGAGATAACATTGGCCTCTTTTTGAATTTTTTAATCTCAGTTTAATCCATCTCTTTCTTTTTCTCTGTAATCTTCACCAAAAAGGGACACCTACACGATTCTTGACTTTACTTTTCCATATCCCTTTGAATTGTTTAATATTTCTTTGACTTTTGTTCGTACAAGCGAGTGTCTCTTCTAGTTCTTGTTTTAATAGGAAAATACCGGCTATAGATATTTTTTGGGGTTAAATTCTTAAATTTAGACACAAATAAATTGAATTTTCGGGTATAGACATGGATTTCGCGGAGGTAGCTCCGCGGAGCTCCACGGAATCCAATGTAGCTCGTCGGAATTGCGAAATCGTAAATAAATTAGGGAAATAAAAATAAAAAAACTCAAGATCCATTCCGCGGAGGTAGCTCCGAGAAATGAATCTTCAGAAAAAAAAAAATTTCACATCGATTCTTCGATATTTATATTCATTCCCCAACTAATTATTTTCAAGAAAAGATTATGATAGTATGAATTTTTTCTTGACAATGTTTGGAATGAATGTGAGGTGGAAAAAAATTTGTCTTTTAATTGAAGATCTTTACATAAAAGAATCATTGGAGGTGATTTTTTTTTCCTGAAGATCCATTCATCGGAGCTACCTCCGCGGAATGAGTTCATTCCTCGGAGGTAGCTCCGCGGAATGGATCTTGAGTGTTTTTTTTTTTAATTCTCTCATTATTTACGATTTTACCATTCCGCAGAGCTACAGTGGATTCCGCGGAGCTACCTCTGCGGAATCCATGTCTATATCCGAAAATTCAATTTTTCGTGTCTATATTTGGGAATTCAACCCCAAATAATGTGTATTTTCCCTGTTTTAATTCTAATGAAAACCATATATTCCTAATGTGTCGTGCCTTCCCTAAAAATCAATTCCTTGAATAAAATAAGATTTTAATTCTTGTCCATCAATACGTCCATATAACCAAGAATGAGATTAGAATCCGTAACTCAAATATGCTTTCAATGTCTTTTGTGAGCCATTAAATACCATTAACTCTCATTTTTCCAATTCAGTATCCTTTAATTGATTGTCCACTTACCTTCAAGCAAACTTACGGCCTATCTCTTCAACTTGGACAAGAATACCCATTTGAAAATTAATGCATCAATTTTGACAACTTCCAAGAGAATCTCGTTTTCATGCTTCCATTTTCATCTTTCACATATTCTTTCTTCTCAATTTATTTTCTTTAACAAATAAAGGCTATGCATGAAGCTCCTTATAATATTTGTATGTTTCCATCTCAGATTCCCTTTTTTATCCATGCTAAAATCATTTCCATTTACCAATTTTGAATTTTAATGTTCAACAGTATCTCCCGTAACTTGTAGACCAACAAAAAAAAATGTAGAGAGCAAAATATGCCATTGACTGTATCTCTCTCACTTCTTTAGGTTCTGAAAAAACATTGAAAACTTGTTTCTTCTCACCAAAATGGTTACTCAAAACAATGTTATCATTAAACATAATATGAATAATTGGAGTTTTGTAACATCTTTTCATGGAGCTCAGAAACTTCATCAAATCATTTAACCATAACTGAGGTGGTTGAACACTTTTCTTATGTAGATATCTTCTTTCATGAATCTTCCTATAAGACCTTTTTCTGAATTCTGTATTTTTCTTTATTTCAGGTTCAGAGAATATGTTCTTTGGAACCCACATTCACTTAGGTTTACTCTTCTTTTTCTTGAACTTCTTGTATCTTGCCTTGTAGAAAGAATTTTCTGTCCATGAAGACACATATGACTTTCTGAAGTGATTCTCACATCTCCTAGGTACCCATGATTTTCGATTTTGATACACTTTGTCTTCTTTAATCGCCGGTTTTATGTAGGGTTTCATCCCATTGAAAGAAATACTTCATCTGGATGAAATATCAGGAGGCACTCTCTTTTTTGCAAAACCAATATGAAGAACCTTAACAATATCATCTTTCTTTTCAGTTACAACATCCTGAACCTCGGTACAAGGATCTTCAACAACATTCAGAGAACATGGATCATCAGCAATATCTTTCTCTTTCTTTATTTCTAAAGATTTTTCAACCATTTTTACTTGGGCGACTTCATATATATCTGGAGCAACATAAACACTTTCTTCTTCCTTTTTATGTTTTCTTTTTCATTTCTTCTTTATCTTTAATTATCAGTTGGATCATATTCATTTGAGTTATCAGAGATATATCACTTATAATAGGATGCCGATCATGTTCAAACATATCATGTACATATGGTTCCTTGTTAAACAAACCATTCTTAATAAGATGATATATCTCATTGGCAGTAAATGCTCTAAACTCATGAAATCCTTGAATGTACCATGTATCATAATAAATTTTTTTACAAAGAGCAAATGAAGCTTCATAAAAACGTATATCTGACATTGTATCTTCAATAAAAACAAAATTTGAAGATAATGAATGTAGATCAGATGTGAGACAAACTAGATCTAGAAAAGAAAACGTTTTCAAAGGAAAACCTTCAAATCTAGACATTTCTTCACAGATATTTTAGGTATGATGTAGGTGTTTCAATTTTTGAGTTTAGATCACAAAATATCTAGAAAACTTATACCAGATTTGCGAGAAAGATTCAAATACGAAAACATGTCATCTCTGATATGTACAACTTGAAAGAACATATGATTCTTCAAGATCAAGCTCTGATACCAATTGTAGGAACCCAGATTCACACAATATGATATGACATTGCTGAAATTAAGAACAATAGCTGAATCACTTTCAGATAAACAATTAATCAATGAAATATTTCTGCATTCATATGATCATTAGATCTGATTACAATGGAGAAACCTCACATAAACAAAAATTAACTCTCACTTTCTCTATGTACAGTAAAAAAATGAAAATACTGAGTAAAAACGAGGTTCTCTCTAAAATTAAAAACGACCTAAACTATTTATAGTCCTAGGGTTTAAAATCTGAAAACCCTAAAACTACTAGGTCAAAAATAAAAATTCATCTGTCAAACATTTTAATATCTAACACTATGGGTTTAGAATGACATGACGATCACGAGGAGTGCTAAAGTCGTTAATAACAAAGGAGGTCCAACAACTCAAAACGCCATAGCAGGAGCCGCTCAGCTCCCGATGGATGAAGTTCGATTGATGATGCAGAACATGCTGGACCAGCACAGGCGCGAGTTTATGGATCTCCTAACTTAGGGGCTAGAAAATGCTAGAGGCGAAGCACTAGCGATCAACCATCGATAGTCGTTGAACCAATCAATAATGGACTAGTTCCCTCTCGACCAAAAACGGTTAGGGAAGGAAACGATGACTCGAAAAGTCATCAAGGATCACTCCCTCCTCCAGAAGACTCAGAGATTCGAATGAATAATGAGCCTAGAGGATACTAAAAGTATAAGGACTTCACGACTTGCAAACCATCAATTTTTAATGGTAATGAGGATCCAGTAGGAGTCATGGACCAGATTTTAGAAATGGATCTAGCCTTCATAACTTGTGGTTGCAAGGGCAAGTTGCAGACCACTTACGTTGTACATCAACTTAGAGGCAGGGTTGTTCGATGGTGGAATTCGTTAGGAAAGATCATAAGCCCTAACGAGCCACTACAACTATCATGGACATAACTTTTGTTTCACTTCAAGCGCAAGTTCTGATTAGCCCAAAACATGATAGATCTGGAGAATCAACTTCTAACATTGAAAAAGGGCAACATGTAGGTGGATGAATACACAAATGCTTTCACTGACAAAATGGAGTTCGCCCTACGTGTTGTTTTGGATGAACTGTCAAAAACTCATAGGTACTCCAAAGGACTAACGTAGGAGTATTCTGTGCTAGTTGAGCAGACATCTACTTTTAAGGCAGCCATGTGGCTGCAAGCACTACTAGAAAAACAGCCTTTAACGACACGCAATGCATGTCGTAAAACGCTGAGACAACGCGCAAATGTGTGTCAAGGAAGACCCTGTTATAACGAGAGACGACCCGCTTTTGTGCGTCGTCTATTTACGACACGCATTTACGACGCGCATTTATGACACACATTTACGACGTACAGTAACGACACACAATGCGTATCAAGGAAGGCCCTGTCATAAAGGAAGGCGACAAGCATTTGCGTGTCGTAACCTTACGACGCGCGTGTTTATGACACGCAATGCATATCAAGGAAGCCCCTGTCATAAATGAAGATGACACGCATTTGCATGTTATAAACTTCAGTAACCATTTACGATATGCATTTACGACACGTCTTTACGATACTCATTTACGCATAATACAAAAATATGTAAACAAATATATACCTAAACAATCAATTTCATCCAATAACATCATGTCAAAAAATTGTAATACATTGATATTAAGGGGATCTAATTGTACATTGTTATTAAGAGGTTTTTCCTAACTATATAACCTAATACTACATTGCGTTTCAAGGGACACCTTCTGCAAAGTAATGCTATACAAACTAAAAAGATATACACAAATATGATAAACATCAAATTCCAACTAAGTAGAGTTGCATCTTGCCTTTCATAATTCTTTAAGATTAATGAACCCCTGCTCCGATAATTCTTGTAACCTGATCAAATAAAAGTCAAAAAATTAATATGCTAATATAATTAATAGAAGAATCAAGCAAGGAATGTGAGTTGAAAATACTTGTGCCAAATGTGAATGGTCAAATGAGGGAAAAGTGAACATATGCAAGCTTTTTGACACCAACCTACACACAAGCACATATACATATCAAACAAGGATGTAAAAATCACCCGATGTAAAAATCCCAACATTTTTAATGCAATTAAAACCTTTTTCTGCAACAAATAATAGTATCAATTAGCCAACAAGATAACAAAAAAAATTAATAATTACCAAATTTATGATTATTCTTGATTGGTATTTAAATGGGACCCACAATATAAGTAAATATATGAATTATAATACCTCACTTTCATCATCTAAAACTGTTTCCATGAGATAAAGGTCACAAAATTTTGTTATCTCCAAAAGAATCTGCACCATGTGGAGGTGGAATAACTCGAATTCCATTGGATATGGATGAAGGAAGAAGAACATGAAATTCCTTCTCTAATCTTTATGCATTACCAAAATACTTACTAACTTCAAAAACCCCCATCCATCACTTTATTACACACATCATCATATAACACCATCATCTGTCTATGTGTGTGTGTGTATATATAAATAAAATAGCAATAGCAGTGATATGTTAATGTACCTACTCCTCCAGGTAAACATGCAGTGCCTCCAGCCAAGACAATGGTCTTGAACCAAGTTTCATCAGGGGTTAATCCTGCAGCATGGCAATGTTCAAGGAAAATTGCCACTGCTTGATGCAAACCACTTGCAGTCCTCCTGTATCAGTATGTACCAAAAAGACCAAAATACCCCTTCAATCATATAAGTAATAAACTTTGATTGATTGATATGATGTATGTATCATATGTTAAGGTGTACATACAGTCCTGCAATGCGTGGCTGGAATAAAATCTCTCCTGTACGAAATTTTTCTTGCTTAAGAGTAAACAAACCCTCAACATGAACTTCATATGATGCCTCTGTGTCTTTTCGTAATTCACATTCATAGTCAATAGCAACATAACAAAGCTTCTGCAATGCCATTTTATTCCAACAACATTAAGGCAAAATACCCTAAATGCCCTTTTAAAACAGTCATAGAATATATGTATATACCTCTTTCAACGTGCGCACTGTGTATAATGAGGAAAAATTAAGATTTCTCTGCTGCATTTGTTCCCTAAGGTATCCTGTAAGCTTTAAAGCTCCAACTCCCATACTTTCCACACCCACTTTGTGCCGCTGAAATATATGTATTCACACCATTTTATCAATTTAGCCACTGATATATATATATATATATATAATATATATATATATATATATATATATATATATATATATATATATATATATATAGTGTTATGAAGTCAACAAACATGGTCAAACCTGGTTGATTGCACAGACAAAAGGAACATTCAAGTCGAACAGTGCTGAAGAATCTGAATGATGTTAATAAAATACACAGATTGGCAACCCCTGCATACAACTATCATATTAAGAAACACATAAAACAAAGACAAATAAAGAATCTGAATATGAACATTTTCTGATGACTCTGGCACTTATTATAATGGTAACCTTTCATTAAACAAGAGTCAAGTATCCAAACCTTTTTTAGAAGTTTTGTCACATCTTTTATACTGCTAACAGACTCCTCTGTTAAATTTTCAACATATACACCTGTTTTAGTATCTTCTCTTATTTGAAGATTTCTTTGAGCTGGATCCAACAAATCAGTAATTTGTTCATTATAGATCTGTAAATACAGTTTCCCAAAACTAGGATTTAAGATACTTGTAACAACAGAAGTTCAATTGTCCATGATAAATAAATTATCATGTTACCTCAAGAAAAGAACAGCGGCATTGATACATGAGTTGCTTGCCAGCATGTTTATTTTGTTCCTATACAAAATTGCCTTTAATGCATGAGGAAAGATTTAAGTGAACATCAAGGTAAATATCAATATAGACTTAGCATACAATCTCACCTCATTCATGCGAAAAAATAGACTTCCAAACACACAAGGTGTCAATCCTTGTTGATCACTAGATAACTCCCATATTGTGTAGGTCTTTCCATAAAAAAACATCCATTAACCTATTCCATGAAAAGAAATTGCTTAATGTTCTTATGTGTTGATTTTTTTTCCATGTAAGTGAGATTATGACACCCATGCAAATGATAATTCTGCTTACAAAAATATATTTTCAAACATGAAATTTGAAATGAAAACCTTGTGACGCATTTTCTCCACAGTGTGTAATCCAACCATGCCTCTCTCTCTCTCTCTACAATCTTCACGAACCTCATCATCAGTGAGAACATCAACACCACCTTTTGCTTCAATCATCTTATCATCACTCTTTATCCTACAAACCAAACTCTCATTGTAATTGAAACTACACTACAACTATTCAGTTTACCAAATTGGTAACAAACTGAAACATGGTTGCATAAAATGGTAAAACAGTGTAACTTAACTACATTATTACTAGTATTAAATAAGAACGAAAGCTCACCATCTAAATCTTTTGCGAAGCATGTATCGCAAGTAAGCATCTGTCCCATAGGGTTGGATTCCCATATACTTGCACATATTCACTAAACGAGGCCTAATCAACACATTAGGGTTAAAAAAGGAAAAAAGAAAACAAACATTCATATATTATAATAATATACAAGAAAGGTTGAAAGCTCAACCTGCTGATATTATCAAGTGTAAGTTCATCATTGAATAACTTTGCAAATCCCAATATTTCCTCATTGGAAACAACAGCACCTGTTCTGGCATGTGTCATCACATTAATTGCAAATTTGTAAACAAAGAAGCATACTTTGGAAGTGGTGAGTACTACACTCTTGCCTTGCTAAGAAATTCATCAAGATCCTCTGCTGTTTTCTTAACTTCTCCACTCCTGCTGTTTTGGATCTCTTTTGCCATCTCTTTAACTGTATCCTGAAGAAACTTTGCAAATTCTATTCTTGCATTTATCTTTCTTTTCAATGCTTCCTACAACAAATATCAAACATCACACTTGTCTAAATAACACGATAAAAATCCCAAAGGTAGAGCCTCCATAAAAACGAAAAACTTTGAAAGATACCTGTTATTTCATCTTGTCCTGAAAAGTAGAAGGTAACATATTGGGGAATACTTTCAAGAATACTGGAAGCAAAAACTCCATGAAAGGTACAATGATAAAAACTCTGGAGATGCTTCTTTTTTCTCTTTTTCTTATTATTATCATCTGTTACACTTGTGGTAGTAGTAGTAATAGTATAATGTATAGATTGCCATATCCTCATTTGTCCTACTTTTTCATTCCATGCAGCCTCTTGCTTCTTTTTTCTGTCCAACACCAAGGCTTTAAGAGGATCATGGTGGAGAATGAACTAACAGAGACATGATAGAGGTAATTGGGAAGAAGAAGTCGTCTCTGCCTTAAAATTGCTCTAGAGGCCATTATCATCACATACCAAAACTCCCTGTAACAACCACATCAGATTTCATTAATCAAAAAGACAAAACAACCGAATATTTTGTCCAACACATGAACTACAAACTACAAAACTTGTTATTGTATTGTATATTGAAAAAAATGATACCGAATCAGAGTCAAATTGTACCCAAGTGTTAAGCAGTGAGCCACTGACCGGAGAAACCGCCTGAAGGGGATACCAACGCCGTGAGATGATAGAATCGACAGATGATGTGAGTGCTGAAAAATCATTCTGTAGTCTCCCGAGTTTTAGGGACAATCCCGCAAAGGGTATTTCGGTAATTATGAGTTTTGTCCCTCTAGGAGGGGAGGTACATGGGTTCTTTTCTTGCCTCCCACGTATGATTATTTCCAAGTTGCTTAATGAATGATGTTAATAAAATACACAGATTGATCGCAAAGTATCGACCCACAATGCCGGTTTATCAGTTGTGATTCCTCAGCTAAAAAGTAATAAGTTGAAGTGGAGTTTCAGTGGCGCATTTGAAGCAAGGCAATCACTTATTGTCAGAGGTCTTTTCCCCATGCTTGCTGATCCCCGACATCCCATAAGTTTGTTTATTTTTATTTTATTATTTATTTTTACATAAAATTGAATTATTAGTACTAAAGTTGTAAATGATTATTCTTCAATCGTTCTTAGTAGCTTTTATCTGTTTTTTTCCTTTTTTTTCAAGATATGGAGTACAAACTAGAAGCTATCCTCGAGAATCAGGTAAATACACATCTAGCATATGATATAACAAAGCCTAAACTAAAAACAGAAACAGAAACAGAAAATGTCTCCCACTTGTATTTCATTTTGTCTCACCAAAATCAATCACAAACAGTAAATGGCTTGATCAATTTGGGGAGGAATCTGTTTTATCTCAGTTCCAAGTTCTTGTTCAATCCTATACCTGTACAATTTCCACAAAACCACACATTATATTAGCATTCATTTAACATTTAACATTTAACATTTAAATTAAAAAATATGAAAGAAAATACATACAAGTTAAACCGATCTTCATAAGTTATTAGATTCACAGCTAACCCCAGATGTCCAAACCTTCCCGAACGCCCCACCTACAAATAAACAATATAATAATTTTTCATTTTCAAAAAAATAAATAAATAAATAAATAAATATTTTTAGTTTACCCTGTGCAAATACGTCTCGGCGTTCCTTGGAAAGTCAAAAATTGATGACAACATTCACGGATTGAATATCTATACCCATTGTAAACAAATCTGATAACAATTTCAAGATTAGGGCAGAAATTATGAGGATATGGCAGAAATTGAACTCCGACATGGGAATGAGGGAGAAAACGAACTCCCATATGGGTTTCATTTTGAAAAACAGGTTCATTGGAATGTTGGAGAAATCAAACCAGGTTTTAGGGAGAAGTTTTTGAGCCGATAACCTAAATAGTGAAGAGTGAAGTTGATATTAGGAGAAGTCGTACCAGGTTCTAGGGGAGAAATCAAACTAGTTTCTTCCTTATTTTGAGAGGACGGATCTGAAGAGATCGAGAAAAAAAAATCCCTGGTTGGATGATTTTATGACGAGGAGGATGGACGCGGGGAGGTGATCCTATGCTCACCGGAGAAGAAGTAAGCCTGAAGTGAGATCGTCGATTGTTGTAGAGGCCTGGGAGAACCGATTGAAAATGGGAGAGCGTTTTGAATTTTCTTGAAAATGCCCTAGGTAGAACTTGAAAAAGCCCTAGGAATGAGTGAATGAAGGGAGACACTTGAAAAATCGGAGAGCGTTTTGAATTTTCTTGAAAATGCCCTAGGTAGAACTTGAGATACAGAGGAGAGATTGAAGAAGCGGGCACTTCAAAATTTTAGAATGTCAGAGGATTTCATTTTTGCCCATTAAAAACGCAAACGCGCGTTTGATAAAAAAATATAAAGCCTGTAACACCTGTTTATTTATTTAATAAATAAATTAATTAATGAATGAATAATAGCCTAAAATTAATAATTATATGTTAAGGTGTTGGCCTCGAGGAGTTATTGGTCACAATTTTAGAAGTCGGGGATTAAAAGTGTAAGTTCCAGACTCAGTTTATAATTATTTATGAAGATAGGGGCTCCGTGGTAGTTATTTGGATTTAATTTAAAAGGAAATGAGGTGGAAGGATTGATTATGTCATAATTAAGATAGTAGGGGCTGTTTGGTAAATTTTGTACCTAAGGTGTAAAGGATTTTAATTTTGAGGGTTTAAATGGTAAATATCGGATCTAATTTGAAGAAGATTTCCAAGCCAGGGTAGAAAGGGTAAATATTGGATTACTTTCGAAATTATCTATGGTAAGGAGGGACTGGTTGTGACAAATTGGTTGGAAGTTTGGGTGGGATACGAGACTTAAACCCGGTGCATTCTTTCCCTCCCATATTGGAACAAACAAACCCTAAACCTAAAAACATCACACAGCCGCCACCTTGTGCTCTTCTCCAGCCGCCCCCTCACTTCAACGACCTCCGCCGCCGCCAACCCTTTTGGTTGTTGTCACCGCCGTGCGTCGCAGCTGTCATCTCCTCCGGCGGAAGCAAGTCGACGGCATAGGAGTCGGGTGTGCCTCTTCCCTTCTTCCCGTCACCTTTCTTCTCCTTTCGTTCTGTCGCTGCTGCTATTCGCAGCCGGAGTTGCGACCTCCCCCTTCTTCGTTTTTTTGGTGATACATCTCAACCACGACCGCCGCCGTCGCAGCTCCGAGCGGCTGCCTTTTTGTGCTCCGGGTGTCGCCTACCACCTGAAGTGACCGAGGTGGGTGCGTTCTTCGCGATGAACTCGTGTGGTGCGGGTTACTACTTAGCTATGAAGTGTAGATGGATGCTCGTTTGGCCAGCAAACCCAAGAAAAACCACCATGGCTGCCAACCATGGTGGCTGTCGCAGCTATTTTCTTTTCTGCCACCCTTAACCACCGTGTATGGGTGGCTGGGTGTGCGTGTTTTGTATGAGTGAGAGAGTTTGTATGGGTTTTGTGGGTATGATGTTGTATGTACGATTCTTTGGCCGGAATTCCCGAATAACAGCCACCACCACCGCCGTGAGGTGGTGGCTGCCGCCATGCGCCACCGCCGGCCACCATTAGGTGGTTGTGTGTGTGTGCGTATGTGTTATTATTAGTGTGTGTCTGGGTGTGTATTATCGAGTTGTACATTGTAATGGTGCCAAAATAATAATAGAAATCTCAAACCACCACCGTAGGGTGGTGGCTGCCGCCTCCTGCCGCAGTGTCGAGTGGTGATGTTTGGACAAGGGACATAAACCCTAATGGGCCCAATGAAGCCCTAATTGACATTAAAGCCCAAATATGTGTCTAATGGGCTTAATGGACCCTAATGGATCTAAGGACTTAGCTAATGGGCCTATTGGGATAAGATGGGTTGGAAATCCTAATTAGGGTTTGGAAAACCCTAATGCCATGAAACCCTAATTTGGGATTTATCGGGATCGCATCCGGATTAATTAATGAACTTAGAATATTAATAAATAATCATTTGCAATCAACCGAAGTCAACATTGGACTTAATGGATTAAGTCCTTAATGGGTTAAGTAGGGAAAAGTTAACCATAATCGTCATTTTATGTGAAACCCTAATTTCACTTGGGTTTATTGTTGGGCCTTTCTATTGGGCCTTGATGATTGGGTTATTAATGGGTCATCCAAGATCAAGCAAGTGGACTAGAATAATTAATGGGCTTTGTGGTAAGGCCCATATGAGGAGTTGGGCCCAATTTGGAAAATTGGGCCATAGTTTAGGACTTTATGATTATGAGATATTGGGCCATTAGAATACCAAATGTTGGACTGGACTTTTTGGTTGGGCCTTTGAATAAGACATGTAAAGGCTTGGGCCCAATTTAGAAAATTGGGCCATATGTGATGGGTTTTATGTATAAGAACAATCCTATGTGCTCATACAACCCTAATGCTTGGATCTAGGTTTCTCTATTGTACATGCAATGAATCCAAGACTTACAATCCCTAGATCTATCAAATAAGAACTGAACTAAGCAACTTGGATGAAGAGGGAGGAGAGAGGAGGCACCAAAAACGGCTGGAAACCCTAAAGGATTACTTTTCCACGTTTTTGGGGCTTAAGGGTCCTTTATATACATGTAGGCTATTAGGGTTTACAACTAGGAAACCCTAATCTGGCTGCTTAGGCCCTAAGCAGCCCATGAACTCCTTTAACATATCCCTTGGACGATTTCTAATGGGCTTCCCATAGAATTCGTCCAACCTATATATTATTAGGTGATCCATAGCCCAATCGTAATTATCTTATAATTACAAATCCAGTCCCCTAAGTTTAATTAATCTCTTTTAGCCACAAAATTAATTCTTAATTAATTCTTGACTAATATTAATTAAACAATATGATTTCTCCTTTAATATATTATTCTTATAATATATTAATAAATCATAATTAAACCTTTCTCTCCTTAATTCATCCTACATATTGCTATGGTGAAGGCAACCCAAAAGGATCATGCTTATAATCGGGTCAAGTACATACCAAAATAGTTATGGACTTAGACACTAATCCAACAGTCTCCCACTTGGATAAGTCTAATAACTATTATGCGTATGACTTTAGAACCTGATCAGCAATCGTAGCTTCCAAAAGCCGCTGTCAACTCTGATCTTATCAGATACGCGTGTCCTTTAGATAAGTTATTATATATTCCTCCATTCTACAAGATATCGTATAGACATGAGACATGGATTGAAATCATTCTCTCAGTCTATGTGTCGTTTCCCGATTTCCGATTTATGACGACTGACTAATTGAACAAATCAAATCAGTCCTGGCCCGGCCGAGCACTTTCCTTTGTCATCACTAAATCATCGAGGGGCCCACAGATATCGCTTTTATCCCACCTTGGGTAAAAGGAATGGATAAACTTTGACTCAAATACTTGTTTGCACCTACTAATCGAATCACACACAACAATAAGTTTTATAACACCAAGTTACTGGTGCGTTTACTTATCATCAATGTGCAACCGACCAGCAAATAACAACTCACACGTCTCGGTTTCAAGAATATACAACGTTATCGTCTCACCAATCACTCGTGATAAAACCATGAAGTGATTCAAGTGAGCGTGGGTTTAATCCAATACTTTAATTTTATCAAAGCACTCATGAACTCTGCAGCAAACTTGTGATATGTCTAAACACTTTAGACAATCTACAGACAGATTCATGACAGTCTTCCTTCATACCTACTTCCAACGTATGACCGACTGTGGAGGTTCGAATAACCTAGTTATTCTGGAAGTCAAAACATGCAAAATGAAACGCAATAATAATATTAATCCTATATGGTCCCAAAACTTTTGAGCGTAAATAAAAAACACTTTTATTTAAACACCATATTGATTACTCATTATTCATTGCTTACTGTTTCAGAAAATCAACTTATTACTCGAATTATAACCATAATTGTCCCATGCTCCAAGCATACACACTTTGGTTTCCTATGGTCCATACTTTGTGAAATAGATCAATTGAAAACTTTTCCAATGAAACTCATTTCACAATCCCCGATCCTTATTATTAGTATAAGAATATCAAATTCTTGCCACTTTTAGAATATGTCAGGTTCTAACATTTTATGCAATGATTCTTTCGTAATGTCATAGCACAAAAATCACCAAGACCCGACTAATGAAATTACAAGGTATTCTATCGGAAATTGTTACAAGACAATTCCATAGACGTGAAGTCTCACATTCAAAGTACATTCCTTTGAACATCCTTCTCGCATAAAAGTTTCTAATCTAGACATATTTCTTAATATCCAACTCCCATTAATGGAAACATTTCCATATTTGCCATATGACAACTCATTCTTAATAGAATCTTATCTATTCATAATAATGTCAATATAGTCCATCCAATACTATTTTAGTCAAAACCAGTTCTAGTCTCTTTTCCCTCTTAATGCCCTAGGCATTTGGAAAATTTTAGAATGGTCAAATATTATAGCATATGCAATTGATCCTATACCCGAAGCGTATTGGACACGATGCATAATGTCTCACATAAAGACATGATACTTCATCATCCTTCTGCCATAATATTTTATGTGCCCTGTTCCCACAATTCGAACTATGAAGAGGGATGCCATAATCATAATCGAATTTTGAGAATGCACTATGTATCCTTGACTAAATTTATTAA